CTTTCCCAACAGATCTAAATTTTTACTCTGACTGTTGACTCAACTTTACATAATTCTGCAACCAAGTAGTATCAGAATGTCCACCACCACAATTATTTGAAATAACTTGTAAGATGTAATTAAATATAATATTTAATAAATCAGAACCCAGACTGTGTTTTAACACTATTAAACTCTCTGATTTCAACTTATGAACATGGTTTAATAAACAGTCTCACTGAATACATTTGCATTGAAACAGACTTGCACGCATGTGCATTAATAAGAAACAGCTATCAAATATATATTCTATAGCTGGCACTCTCTAATCAGGTCTTTAGAAAAGTGCACAGTTGCACAGTAAGAGTAATAAAATATAGCAAATATTTTTACAAATAAAAATATTCAAACAGATTTTCAGTTTAAGAACACCTGTCAAGTAACATGCTCCATGACTACACAGACTCTAATACTAATACACGGCAAGTGTCCGTGCAATGATATATTCATGTAACAGAAGTAGTCTCATTAGGGGACTGCAACAGATATCAACATAAACCTCTGTTACATTAATGGTAGAACACAGTCGTAATTGTTTCATAGGCATTTGAGGAGCTACATCTTCAGATAACAACTTGCTAAGTGCTACACAAAACAGCAAGCATCTGAACAAGATTAATATATGCTCAGATACATATACTCCTCCTCTTACAGGACTGCTGATCTTAAAATTTTCCATGATGTCTACTGAAAAGCAGAAGGTCATTCAAAAGAGTTTGGGGGTTGAAACTGAAGTAAAACTTTGAAGACACAAGTAATCTCTGATCAGCTTTTCCAAAAACTAATTTCTATTTCAACCTACCACTCCAAAAACTGGATGACACTCAGTCCACTGGAATGTAGTGCTTTGAGAGAGTAAAGATTTGAGAATATTCCATCCAATTGGAATTATCAAATGTTATTGGCAATTTTAAAGTGGTGTTCAAAATTTGGTTTCCTCTACCTTTCTATAGCTCTCATAGTGATAATGAAAAACAAAGATCAAAGAATTGTTATGGTTGGAAAAGATCTGTAAGATCACCAAGTCCAACCGTTCCCTAGCTTTACCATGTCCACTTCTGAATCATGTCCCTGAGCACCATATCCAGACAGCTTTTGAATACATCCAAGGATGGTAATTCCTGATGCCATTTCCTCATGTCCTATCGGTTGTAACTTGTGAGAAGTGACCCACACCACCTCTCTACAACCTCCTTTCAGATAGCTGTAGGGAGCAATAGCCCCAAGTCCCTCAGCTGCTCCTCGTAAGGCTTGTTCTCCAGATCCTTCACCACCTTTGGTGCCCTTCTTTGGACCCTCTCCAGTACCTCAATGTCTTTCTTATACTGAAGCACCCATAATTGAACACGGTATTCAAGGTGTTGCCAAGTCCCTCTGCAGAGCCTTCTTACCCTCAAGCAGATCAACACTACCGCCTAACCTGGTGGTGTCTGCAAACTTACTGGGGGTGCACTCAATTCCCTAACCCAGATCATTGATAAAGATGTTAAACAGAACTGCCTCCAACATTGAGCCCTGGGGAACATGGCTTGTGACTGGAGGCCAACTGGATGTAACTCCATTCACCACTACTCTCTGGGCCCAGCCATCCAGACAGTGTTTGATACAGCAGAGTGTATACACATCCAAGCCCTGGGCAACCAGTTGGTTTATGAGAATGCTGTCGGGAACACTATCAAAAGCTTTACTGAAGTCCAGGTAAACAATATCCACAGCCTTTCCCTCATCCACCAAGCAGGTCACCCTGTTGTAGAAGGAGACCAGATTGCACAGCACGACAAAATGCTGCCCAGTGTTGAACAAAAAGGGCAGGGGAAAAAAACAATATAGAGACACTTGGAACTGGCAAGTGAAAGAAGGCAGGGAGAACAGATGATGTTTAAGAGTGACTCTCCTCCCCGTAACTTTGCAAGAAGTCCAGATCTAAAACAAATAAAGTTAAGAAGAAATCAAGGATTTTTCCATAAACAATAAAATGCTCTTTATCTCTTAGAGCAAATCACGAGTAGGATCCTTCTTAGGTCTGTGTTCTGTCATTTTCTCTCTAGCAGACTGTGCTGCAGCACACCTCTTAACAGAATCTTACAGACACACATAAGAAAACTGCTAAGAAATCCAGAAGTGCAACAGCACGAAGTCTTAGCAATGAAGCACAACCCTGCATTCCATAAAGGCATTTGTTTTATGACATTTTCCAAAGTCAAAAGCTTTACTGACTTACACTCAAAGTTTTCCTTAATCTTCTTTTTTAACAGAAGAATTAGCTATTCTACCAACGAAAACACCTGCCCACAACAAGAGTCAGAAACACCCCACAGAAAGAGACATACCCCCAGTTTACATACAAGTACTGAAAATGTAACACTATCTGTTAATTCTGACTGCATCATCCTGGGAAAACAGATTGTCCTAGCTTGAGCTAAATAGAACTAATTTTCTATTTAGTGATTTTATTTTTCAGCTAAGTCTCTTCTAAGTGGCTGTACTGACTGAAATTAACGGCACGTTTTTCTAGACAGTATTCACTTCAACAAGTGATAGTGTTTGTATGTTATGTAAACATAGCAAGGCCACTGTCGCACCATGGGTGCCATATCTGCACATGCGGGGTGGACAGGACAGATTGCCCAAAACTGACCAACCAGGTATTTTATCCCACATACATGATACTCAGTATAAAGCAGGGGTTTTTTAACAAGGGTCTCACTCTCTTGCCCTCCCTCTTGCTCTTCTTCTCCTGCGATGGCTGAAGTCCAAGCAGAACCCTGCTGGTTCATTTGCCTCCAATCCTGATCTGTGTGCTCCTGAATCCTGTTCCCGCATCCTGCTCCCACTTGCTGCTGGGTCTGGATTGGGACTTTTCCAATGTCCTGCTCTGCAGAGCCTCTGGTGATGTAATCATCACTGGGGGGTGCAGGGAGAATTTTATATATATATATATATGTGTGTGTGTGTGTATATGTATGTATGTATGTATGTATGTATGTATTTGTACATATCTGTATATATTTCCCTGTTTACATTATTATCCTGTAGTATTAGTATTGTTTCATTAAATCTGTTAGTTTTCTTTTTCAACTCATGAAGTCTCTCTCCCTTATTCTCTTCCTCTTCTGGGGAGGGAAGAGGGGTTGATAGAGAGCATCTGTCCAGCATTTAGTGGCCAGCCCAGCCCTAAACTGTGACACAAAGCTGGGATTTGTTTGAATCTTTGAACAAACATACTGATCACCACACAAAAAGCAATAGTATCAGTGGATCGCCATCAGAACTGTTGTAAAGTTTCGCAGGCATCATGCAGAAGGAGGGCTGTATTATGGCAAGCAGTTTTGGAATCAAATATAAAACAAAAACTGTAGATAAGACTATTCTGGATAGGATTGTAATCCTTAAGACAGACAAGATCAGAATCTAATATTATTTCCACACTGAATGAAGATCCATAACACTCAATATTTAGGAGGGAGAAAAGAAATGCACAAATGCTACATGATGACTGAGAGTTTACATAGCACTACAGAAGACATTAATGAATTCCAAACAAAATATGAATAATGAAATCGATGCTGCTGTTAGCAAGCACTGCCATTCTGAGATGTATTAATAGACGTATTCTCTATATTAATAAACTCAGGACAATCATTCTACAATATTTGGCACTCCCAAGGGCTCAGCTAAACATCATGGCTTGCTCTTGTTTGTTGTTTGCTTTTTTTCTTCAGCAAACTCCAAGCCTGTATGTGAAAAAGAGAGGATCCACAGGAAGAAAAAGCTCACTAAAAGTGGCTTGGAAAAACAGATGCATGAAGAAAGGTTGAGATAACTGTGTTTGTACAGCCTAGGAATTGCAAATGGAGTTCATAACTTTGCAGTACGCTATTTGTTATAAAGAAGATGGTGAATTTTTCTTGGCATTCTCTCAGTTCAGACAAAAAGCAATTAACTCAATTTGCAATAAAGAAGATTTAAGTAGGACATCAGAAAAAACAAACCCTGGACTAACGAACACATTCAAAAAAGTTGAAAAGCCGGAAGTCAGAAATACAAAAAGACATCTGTGGAGATGGCAGAATTTTCCTTAATGGAACTTCTAAGGATATGAGACAGCATGTATCTAGGATGATTTAGGTACATGCTTACTCCCCTCTGTGAAATACAATGGGCTAGAAAACCTGCTGAAGTCTCTTCCAACCTTACATTTTTTATTGAGATAAACTAAAAAAAAATAATAATTAAAAAAAATAGTAAAACCAAAAATTAGCACAGTACAAGCAATAGTCTGGAAAACAAGAGGGTAAGACTAAGAGACAGATCACGATAGCAAAATGTAATTGTGCATAGCTAAGAAAGGGCTTATCTTTAGACATTTAAGGCAGAAGCAATCCACAAGGCATACAAGGCTAAAAATGAGTTTAAATCAAAGATGACATGAGAGCTACAGATCTGAATGACTGTGTCTTCAGACACTAAACATACAACTTCATCTCCCCTTTAGCCATCCTCTTCACCTTCCTTCTCTGTGTTCTCTCTTTCTGTTGTTTGGGCTTATTTTCTGTCATCTCTTATATTTTACCTTTCTATTCTCTAGTTTTATTTCTTTATGTTGACAAGAAATGAGTGGGAGAAAAAAAAATGAAAAAGGAGGGGCCCCAACATTTATTTTGCAACAACATATTTTAATTGATATCATCTACATCCTCAATGGATTCAGGTTATAACCAGGGCATTATTAAAGACTTAGAGTTAATCTGATAAACAGTACAATGTAGCTTTTTGTAAAAACAGGTTCTCTTGGGTTTTAGTGATTTATCAAATTAATCTTGAACAGACTTCCTTTGAGTATAATGGATTCAGAATCTCAAATTCATCGTCCATCTGTATTTCTATACAAACCCTCTTATTTCCAATAGATGTTTTTCAAACTGTTAACCCCTCCTGTTCTGGTTATAAAATGTTACGTGCATAAACAAAGAGACACTAAAAATCTATTTTTGAGGAAGAATTTAATTTTACTACTGCATAACTAGATTACAAATAACACCCTTAGTGGTATCTCAAAGTAGTAAGAAAGACTGATCATATTTTGTACAAAAAGCGAAGGCTCATGAACCTATTTTATGGTCTGTATGTAGCATATGTTACACAACATATTTTTACATTTAGCTTACTGTTTAAGAATGCTGAAGAACAGCAGACAACTTTGACTTAATGTTGGAACACATAAATGATACAAGCACAAACATCTTCGTATTTGGTAAAAGAAGCATTAGAACTTTAGAAAGATTTTTTCGGTTTAACCAATTGTGACTACAGAAATAAACACCCACAATAAAATACATTGGATTTGTAACCATGAAAGAGATTACTCAAAAGTTTGCATTACAGCAGCTTTCAAGTGACCTGAGCACCACAGTCTCACATTTTAGAAAAGTCAAAGCCTGCTGTGAGTTAGCCTTCATCTTACTGACCTTTCGATGCTCTTGGAGATTTGTTGCTGAGGAACATTTCTTATTGCACACTGAACACATCAGCTTCTTCCTAGAATTTCCTGAAACAGAAACAAAATATCATCAACATCTTAAAAAGGAAGTGCTAAGAAAGAACCTAAATATTTCCACTGACTTTGTGACTTTTCACAGGTCATTTGACTGACTTAAGATTTTTACATTTGTATCCCATCTTCAAAGTGTTCAGTATCAGGAGTTCTCTGTGGGTGTCCATCAAACCAGTTACTGGTGGAATGTAAATCAAGAAAACTAAAACAATAAAGAGAAAAACCCCTTCAAATAGATGTTGTCACACATTACCAATCCAGTATGAACAGCACAACTCACAACTAAGAACAACTCACTTTATAACTGAACAGTTGATTTCTTCCAGAAGTCAATACAATTAATATCTTCAAAAACTTTATACTAAAGCTTTAACACAAACATTCCTGAAAGGAGTTAGTGCAGCAAAGACAAAAAAGATCCTGAACTGAAGTGAAAACCACCATTTCCCACTTCTCTTTATTCAGAAAGCATTAAGCATTCTACTATATAAAACAACATATCATTAATGGTCTCTAACTGAGCAAGACATCGAATTTGTATGAGCACCAGATCATGAATTCAAACCTCATCTAAAATGTAAATTGTGAAACAAGCTACAGGTCAGCCACCATATGCATTTTTCTTCCCTTTTCACAGTTGCTTTAAAAAGTGACAGACCATTTAATTGGGTTTATTTATTATTTATGTTTTGCAATTCCTTTTAGTAACCCACAAAGCTATTTTATTACAAGTCAAAGCCATCACATACCTAATTCTTTGTTTATAATTACATGCCCAGGCAAGGCATTACCTAGCTTATGTAAAAAATGTTCATATTACTTTGAACACAGACACAGAGCCAAAGAAGTGGTAAGTATTGCTTAGTCAAGCACAGAGGGAGTACGGATCATAAACAAACTTATTAGACTGCTTCCAGCTCAATTTTTCAGACTCTCAGAATCCTAGACCTTTCTTGCTTTTTCTTGTCCTAAGGAATTTGCATTACATTGATTCTGATTATACATAGTTTCAAGGGCTTCGAATGCAAACTCAACATGCCCAGCTTAGATCATACTCTTACAATGAATAGGTCCTCCTAAAAGAGAAATGATCACAAGGAAAGCTGCCCACATGTAGTGAGAAGACTGAAAGCATAACACAAGGTATACTTCTTACTACAACTGATTGGTTCAATACCTAAATTTGTAGTAAAAAAAAAAGTACTTCATCGCACATGTGCATTTGCTGTTATAAAACTTATAAGTATTGATATACTGATACATACTGACATACACATAAATACAGGAATACACTTACTACTATAACTTACAAGAACATTAATGAGAGCTATTCAGAGGAGACAGAGGTGATAGTGAATATTTGTTCATAGTTTCACATAACAGGCAACACATGTAAAAATTCTTTCTACTTTCCCTTGCCTCCAGCTAACTCAAGGCATGAAGGAATTCTAGAAAAGCGTCCCTCAACAGTAGTAGGTTATTCTCCTTCCTGGACATACATCAGTTTTTCTTTCTCTGACTCCCAAGTGGTAAAATAAAAGCTCTGCTCATTGTGCAGGCAGAGGAAAAAAAAAAAACATCCTCCAGATGTCTCTCTGTCATGCCTAGAGTGATCATTCAAGAGAACACTGGAACTTGTATACCTCTACATAACAGACCAAAGTTAAGTCTAAGCATAATGACACTCATGGATCAAAAAAATTCTTACTGATACTGAAAAAAGCAGATAAACTTTTATACGAATGCTAATTGAAGGGTTTCTGTACTCTGTAAAAGTTTGGCAGAAGAAAGAGATTTCATGTAGTGAAAACCTTACAAAGCATCTTAGTGCTGTCATCATCAACTAAAGGCTGTTTTCTTTGCAGTCTGTATTCTGCTGTCCCCACACACACTGATTGTTCATTGACATTGAGAGGGGACACGCAGAGAGAGCAGAATGCCAGAACTGAGATCTGCATTGTGGACTTCGGAGCAGTATCTTGCCCTTTCATGAAAACAGAGTGAAGTTTGACTGAAAACTATTGATTCACAGTGCACAGATAGAAAAATGCTAGGGCCTAAAGGGAATAGTGGATTGTCTGGTCTGGCTTCCTGCACAACAGAGGCTATAGAATTTTATGCAATACCCTCATTAAGCCTAATCGTTTGTGAAGCATGTCTTCCAAAAACATCCCATTGTGTCCTGAAAATACCGTAAGATCAAGAAGTCGCCACTTCCTGTAGCAGTTTGCGCCAGTGGTTGATTTTCCTCACTACCAAAATGTTTTGCTTTATCCATTATTTGCCTAGTTTAAACTTCCCCAGACTCATATTACATTTTCTGCAGTAGACTAATGATTCATCTGGTATACAGCAATTTCTCCCTCAGGGAAGAGAAATACTTACTCTTGCAATTAGTTACTTCTTAATTTTCTTTTTGATACAAATGAATCTATTTAAAAAGAAACCAAAGACGATGTTTATTCTGCTTTGCAAATTCAAGGCTACAAACATGGTAAAGGATTTTTTTTCCAAAGAAACATTAAACTCTTTCTTACCACTGTGAACATTTTCTTTATGTTTTTTCAGGGCATCCTTACTCTTGAACCTCTTCCCGCAGCTATCTGCCTTGCATATGAATCTGGCATCCCCTCTGCATGCCTCCTTGTGCTGTTCATAACTATATAGGATAACCAGCAAAAAAACAAACACAATCAACCAACACATGAAGCAGTATCTACAGAAACCAGACACACAGCAAGTACTGTGAGCTTAACGCATGCTGCACTGCAGAGTTCCAAGGCCACCTCATGCATTACTTACAGCAAACAGGAATGAAAGCATTTGACTTCTTTCACTGTTAGCATTCACATAAACTAACAAGCTTGAAAGCTAACATGCAAAGGGAGGCCAGCAGTGACATGACAGGAGTCCAGTAACTCAGACACAAAACCTCGATTCTGAGCTGAAGGAAGTATTGCAAACAGAGCACTGAAAACTTCTTGAAGAGTCCCCTGGGCTGATACTCTCTGTGCACTGCAGTACACTAAAGAAAAAAAAGGAAAAAAAATAAACAACAGCAACATTCTACAACTTACACAGGCTTGCAGTTGCTAAATACATATATACAGCTCTACAAATGTTTAAGTAGGTGAGTAATCTACTTGATATGTGACGTCTCCTGGAATTTAGTGGGACTAATCAAATGCATAAACAGCAAGATTTAGGATCATACTGCTGTATCCTCACACACATTAATCTTATTTTGCACAACGTAAAGATTTACTTAACTAGCTATACAGCAGAAATCCAACTTCCACTACAGACTAGAAGGAACAAGTCTAAGTTCAAGAGAAAACATTTAGCTGCCTCCACCAAGAATTTCTCTGTTGCATAATTTTAATTATCTCCATGAAAAAACACAGAGCTCAGCTAGAGCTGCCAGTTCTAGGAGTGTTCACATTATTCAGATGTAAGAATGATCAATTTATTACAAGAGCAACCTTAAATCATTCTATGTAATAATATGAGTCTGTTTCTTTCCAATACAAGATTTGGATTGACCATACTATCTATAATTAGATACTTAAGCCTCTAGTGTACTATCTGTAATTAAATGTATAATAAGGAGTAATATATTTCTATAATTGCAACCAAAAATATATAAACAACAAAAGTCAGTTATGTTTTTGTACAAAAGTATAATTGTAATGTATATGACTTTAATGACAAAACTGCATATTTACCCTATCAAGGACAGTAAAGATGTACTCTTAAATCTGATGTCATTCATGTTTCTATTCGGGTTTTTTTTCTATCATCCTAATATTTAACTAAGCAAACATGAAGCACTGCTTTTCCTTTTTTCGACCTTCTAGATAATAATTTACTGTATCTTCTAAATCTTATGCTAATTCTGTAATGACACCCACAGCTAATAAATTACATGTCCTAAGCTACTAAACAGTCCACTGATGGAGACCAAGGGTTGTGCACCAAACACTAGGTCTGATCTGCTCTAAAGTGTATGGTTTTAAAACAAAAATTTAGCAACATTTTTGTGATTCATATTGAAGTCTCCAACAAATACAAGAAATAAACATATTAAAACACTAATGTAGAGGGTAAATGTATAAATACAGAAACTTAAAAATTAAAGCTTAAATTGCAATTAAGCCAAGAAAAATAAATGATTGAATAAAAATTATTTAAATGATTCCTGACAAAAAAAACCACTCTTGTTTCTACTCACTGTCTTTGTAGAGCTTGTTTAACAGGGAATTTCTTTCCACAGTTTCGGCACTTAAATTCCTTTTCCTCACTGGGTTTTTGGTGCAAAGTCTGAAGATGCTCAGCTAAAATCTCCTGGCTGGCAAAACTGGATTCACAGTTTGGGCATGCATGGTTCTCTTTACAGGTGAGGGGATCTGCATGATGTGAAAACAGTAAAGGAATATTCAGGGCATATTTTGGTTACATTATGGAAGATTCTCTGCCAGAAACAGAATATGCAAAATGGCATCACAAATTTCATAAAAGACGTTGTCTCTCAAGAGTCTGTCTTGAGTGGATTACTATCAGCATTATTGAAAATGGATTAAATGTATTAAGTTGGGTGTGACTTAGGCTGTTAACCTACCTCAGTCATCAAGGTTGTCTCTACTTTGATAGAAACAGCTCAAGTCACCTACCTTTTCTTAGACATCTTACCTTAGGATTGGCTAAACAGCTTTATGAAAAGGTTTATTTCTCTCCCATCTAAGTAAGATGGAAACTACCCCTCTTAGAGCAAAAACTTATCTTCCATAAGATTACAGTCAGGTGAAACTAACTCAATATTTAGTTCAAAAATTAATGCTAACTTCTCATGAAATCTGGGCTCACTCATTGACTCAGTAATTCACAGGACTGGCTGCTTCTTACTAGGCAAAGAACCTCAGCTCAAACCAAAATAGAGAGATAAAAGTCAAACAACAGCTCAGACTCAACCTGCGTAGCCTTCAAGTTCCCCAGTCCTATACAGTCAGCGTTGTCTTTCTTCTTTGTTACCACTTTTAAGCTCTCAAGTTATACTTTTTCTTGCATATTGCTCACCTGCAGTTTTTTCACCAGTTGGTTGCACTTCTTTATTGCTGCCACTGTCTTCAACTTCCTGGGTAACAGTTACTTCCTCCTCCTCCTCTTCTTCTTCCATGTCACTGTCCAAGTACCCAATCAGAAGTTCTGTGTCTGTTTCAATATCTTCCACAGCCAGATAGAAAATATTTTCCCCTTCCTGTTGCAAACAGCAAGTAGAAGCAATGAATAACTATGTCAAAAAAAGCAAAATCTAGAGACAAGTTTGGAACCCTGAACTGATATTAGATCTCAACTATGGAAGGGCTCGCTTCATTCCTCAGTGAGCACAATGCTGGAACAGCCTTTCTGAGACCTCTTTCCAGTGTGGCTGCATGGATAAAGTGTCCTTTTATTATGGTATTCTGGAAATATGCCCCTGCCTCACCTGTAGGACTTTTCCAATTTGCACTGTAGCCTAGGACCAAGGTGAAGGTGGTATTAAAGTCCTTCTCTCCTGCCGCACTCTGCCTGACAAAAACTTCAGAGTTTGAAAATGAAACATTCGAGTGTTAGAAAAATACCAAAATTAAATAATCAGTACAGCTTTAGCTCTGTTCCCTGTTGGCTGCGTGAATTATAATCTAGCCTTCAGTAGCATGTTTCTATAATGTTATCTTCTCTCACTCTATTTAAGATTCCCAGCCTTCTTCACGAACAGGCTGAATTTCAACCCTGGTCAGGTATCTTCGCTATCAGGTTAGCAGGCACATCTGTAAAATGCACTTTAAACCACGAGATCAAAACCCTCTGTTGGTTTGTATCAGTGCTGATTGACAGATCCACAAGCGACTAAAGATCCAGCCCATATTCTGCATGGGAAAACAAGCTACATAATAATAATCTCCAAAACCTTCTCCACAATGAATAAACAGGCTGCCAAACAGATACATAAACAGACGCATAGTCTAACAACTTTGGTTTTTGACAATGTTTAGATAAAGTTATCAAGAATGGACAGGGGTAAGGGCCTACAGTTGATAGTCCTAAGTTGACGTAGGATTGGTTAGGATACCTAACCAACTGCTTTAGGTACCATCTGAAGCACCAAAGGAGCTCTCCAGTCACCGAGGTGAAGAGCTCCAGAGCAGAGGATCACGCCGTGCGTCCGCGCTTAAGTGGCAGAAGCAGCTAAACCACGGAAAAACCGAGGGGGGAGGATGGGGAACAAAACCTAGCGCGAAGGTAAAAAAGCACAGGGAGAGAGAGGGTGCGCCAGCCCACCCTTCCCCCCAAAGAGGGAAACGTGAGCTCCTGGTGGTCAGCGCTGACTCACCATGGGCGGGGACAAGAGTGACAGTTAATCCCCTCAGGTAGAAAAGCAGCCCCCAGGAAGCATGAGCGACCAGGAGCATGGCGTGGCAGTTTGTGCAGGTAGGGAGTGCAGGGAGGGCGCAATTCCTCTCCCTGCTGTAGGGGCAAATTCGACTTGTGGTCATCACCCTCCCAGAAGAGGAATAGAAATGGTGACCACTCGTTCAAAGCTTAGCACCAGGAGGAGTGTGGCGGCTGAGAGGGAGCTCCCATTCAAAGATGCTCAAGTCCAGATCTCTGGCTGCAGGGAGTGCCTCAGTTTGTCACGCCTACAGGAGGTCAGCAGTGACAACATCTGTGTGAGGTGTGGCCAGGTGAACGATCTGCTCCATCTGGTGGCTGAGCTAAAACAGGAGGTCGAAAGGCTAAGGAGTATTAGGGAGCGCAAGAGGGAGATCAATTGGTGGAGCCACACCCTGAGGCAAAGACAGGAGATGGAGGCTCCACAAGAAACAGAGGATCCCCCTACCCTCTTGCCACCAAGCACAAGAAGGGGACCCAAGAGTTGAAGGGGAATGGAAACAGGTCCCTGTTTGTCATGGCAGGAAAATCCCCTCCCTGCCTCCCTCACCTTTCCAGTTGCCCTTACATAACAGATACTGGGCTCTGGAACTTGAGGGCCAGGCAAACGAAGATGTTGAAGAAAGCCCATCCAAGGTGATTCCCTTCTGACCAGACCCATCCCACAGGGAAGTCTGCTGCCTCCCTGAGGCCCAGGTTAGAGATGTTACCAGAAAACTCCCTAATCTGGTACAGCCCTCTGATTATTATCCGCAGTTAGTTGTTCAGGTTGGTAGCAATGAGGTTGCGCAGCAGAGTGCAAAGGCAAGCAAGAGAGATTTCAGGGCACTGGGGTGACTGGTTGAAGGATCAGGAGCACATGTAGTGTTTTCCTCAATTCCATCAGTAGCAGGGAAGAATACTTGTAGGAACCAGAAAACGCCACATCAACACATGGCTCAGAGGATGGTGCCATCAGTGGATATTTGATTTTTCTGATGTTGGGGAGATTTACACAGCACCGAGCCTTCTGGAAACCGGTAGAATTCGACTTTCTCAAAGGGGTAAAACTTGCACACAAGTTGGTAGGGCTCATCAATAAGGTTTTAAACTAGGTTCGAATGGGGAGGGAGTAATACGAGGCTCACTAGAGATGAGCTGAGGAGTAGCAAGAGAATCTTTGGCAGCAGACTGGCCAATTCGGTGAGGCGGGCTTTAAACTGAAAGACTCAGGGGGAGGGAAGAATTCGACTTTCTCAAAGGGGTAAAACTTGCACACAAGTTGGTAGGGCTCATCAATAAGGTTTTAAACTAGGTTCGAATGGGGAGGGAGTAATACGAGGCTCACTAGAGATGAGCTGAGGAGTAGCAAGAGAATCTTTGGCAGCAGACTGGCCAATTCGGTGAGGCGGGCTTTAAACTGAAAGACTCAGGGGGAGGGAATCCAAAATGGCATTGCTCATGCCACCATCACCATTACATCCAATAGGGGAATAAATCAGGCCAACCAGAGTAGTGTAAAATGTGCCTCAGCTGTCTCCCTAAATGAGAATCGAATGTCCAGCCACCTAAAGTGTATGTATACTAACACACACAGTCTTGGAAACAAACAGGAGGAACTGGAGCTCCAAACCCAGTCAAAGTTGCGATATCATACGAATGTCCAAAACATGGTGGGACAACTCCAGTGACTGGGGGATCGGGATTGACGGCTATAGGCTATTTCGTTAAGACAGGCAGCGTAGAAGAGGAGGAGTCGTCACACTCTATGTTAAGGAGAACCTTGAATATATAGAAGTCAACTATGGTAACTGGAAATCCCATTGAATGCCTCTGGATCAAAATCAGAGGGGCTGTTTCCAAGGGAGACCTTACAGTAGGCATCTGTTACCGACCTTCAAACCAAGAGAACGAGACCAACAAAGTGACACTCGGGTCAATTAAGCAGGCTTCAGGTGAACCAAACCTGGTTGTTATGGGAGACTTTAACTACCCAGACATCTGCTGGAAAAACAACACAGCAGTTCACCAGTCATCCCTCAAGTTCCTGGAATGCTTAGAGGACTCCTTCCCTCATACAAATTATGGATGTGCCAACCAGGAATTGGGGATTGATGGATTTGCTGCTCACTAAGCAAGAAATCATGCTCTGTAATATCTCAGTTACGGACAGCCTTGGCTGCAGTGATCACAACATCATGGAGTTTGGGATACTGCTGAGCACACTGAAGTTTAGTTCCACAACAAAGGTTTTAGACTTTAGGAAAGCAAACTTTGGCTTGTTTAGGGCTCAGTTGGAAGGGATCCAGCAGGAAGCTTCTATGGAGGATAAAGGAGCTAGTGAGAGCTGGGAGCTTTTCAAGAACACTCTCCTAGATGCACAAAACTAGTTCATCCCCTCTACAGGCAAGGGAAGCAGGTGGAGCAAGAGACCCCCTGTGAGCTTCTGGGCCTGCTCAGAACAAAAAGGGAAATGTACCAGAGATGGAAAACTGGAACATCACCTGTTGAAAGTTACAAAGACGTTGCCCAGGGCATGCAGGGATGCAGTTAGGAAAGCAAAGGCTCAACTTGAACTGAAATTGGCCAGAGATGTCAGAAACTTCAAGAAAGGATTCTTCAGATACTTTAACAGCAAGCAGAATCAGAAGGAAAATATCGGCCCACTATTGAACAGGAGAGATGAACTACTCACCAACAAAGCTGAAAAGGCAGAGGTCCTCAACATCTTCTTCACCTCTGTCTTTACCAGCGCTGCTGGGTACTAGGCCACAGAAACAACTATCCACATTGAAGCAGATGCAGACCCGCCACCAGTGAAGGAAGAGCTGGTATGTCAACTATTACAGGAGCTTGACTCATATAAATCGATGGGCCCAGGTGCCATCCACCCAAGGGTGCTAAGAGAGCTGGCTGATGTCGTTGCAAGGCTGCTCTCTATATTATTTGAGAAGTCATGGAGATCGGGAGACGTGACCGAAGACTGGAAGAAGGCTAATGTCACCCCTATATACAAGAAGGGTTCCAAGGAGGACCCAGGTAATTATAGACCCATTAACCTCACATCGATCCCTGGGAAGATTATGGAGCAAATCCTCCTGAGTAACATCACCAGCAAACTGGGACACATGATTGGAAAAAAGCCAACACAGATTCACCAGGGGCAGATCACGTTTAACAAATCTGATTGCTTTCTATGACAGAGTGGCCCATTCGGTTGATGCGGGGCAAGCGGTGGACATTGTCTACTTGGACTTCTCCAAGGCTTTCGACATGGTCCCTCACAGCCTCCTCCTTGAAAAACTGACAAAACACAACCTAGATAAGTGGTCTGCGTGGTGGTAGTAAATGGTTCATTCTCTAACTGGCAACCAGTCACAAGTGAGGTCCCTCAGGGATCAATATTGGGCCCAACGCTATTTAATATCTTCATCAGTGATCTGGATGTTGGGATCTGGAACTCCCTGATGAAGTTTGCTGATGACACCAAAATGAGTGGGGCAGTTGACACTCCAGAAGGGAGAGCCACCCTCCAGGAAGACCTGGACAGACTGGACAAGTGCGCCAGCGGGAACAGTATGAAGTTCAACATGGACAAATGTAAGGTCTGGCATCTGGGAATACATAATCCAAGAATACAGCTGAGACTGGGTTCCACCTGGCTAAAGAGCAGCCCTGTGGAAAGGGACCTGGGAGTCTTGGTGGATGACAAGCTCAACATGAGCAAAACAGTGTGCTGCAGCTGTAAAGAAAGCCAACAGGATGCTGGGTTGCATTAAAAAGGGCATCACCAGCAGAGACAAAGAAGTCATTATCCCTCTCTAATCAGCACTGGTCAGACCACAC